TGTATGAGATGTTAATGCACTCCTAATTCACTTTGTACTAAGGTATTCTAATGGCGGGTAGTTCAGAAGAAGAATCAGAATCAGAAGTAACTCAGGGTTGCTCAATGAAATCCTGGATGTAATTCTTCATACTCTCGATTTTATTAGCAAATAATATACATTAAATCAATTAACTTATAAGTAAATTCTAAGATACAGACTCTTTGCTGATCTCGATCAGAAAGCAAATTTATCAAAACAAGATCACGCGAATTTGAACGCGGAAAAGTAATAATTCGAGATATTAGCGGCCAGTGTTGACCTTAGATCGTCCGGAGAGTAAACCTAACTATAGTAATGTGCAAGGACGTAACAATACTGATCAATATTTGTTCCGTTTCGCAATCAAAGGCTTTTCGAAATTGACAAAACAAATGTTTTAATGTCCTGTTTTTCAGCCAACATCGCTTCTTTTCTATTTGCCTTCCACAAAAATAATAGCAGTATAAAAATAATGGATAAGCAACAGTAGTTATGAAATATTTTCTGTACAAAATGTCTGCCACGTACTAGCGAGTGTTGTTTTAAAATTAATCTGTGTTATTAATGTCTGTCTGAAAATGTTTGCCGTCAAACGTGGCATAGACTCAGCTCTAATCCGCCACATAGATCAGATAAGAAAAAGTAATATCATGTAATGAAAATGGTTCATCGATATTATGTATATTATCTAAAAATTAAAATAATAGTTTGCTTTTTTACCAATGAAAGTACTTCTTTACGAGATAGCTTCAATTGTATTCAAAGACAGTAATATCAAGTATTTTAATGAAAAATTAAAGATTTGAACCTACGATTTTTTGCAATCTGGGCGAATGATCTAACTACTGAGTTACCCAGGACCTAACAGAACTATCGAAATTTTCAAGCACTCGTTACTTTTTCGTTACTACAGAGCGTATTTTCATCAATGTTCAGGCAATCCACCCAAACAGTCATAAGAAATATTTTTACAAATATGTTAAAATTTCTATAAAGATTATAATTTTCGAAATTGATCACAAATAATAATTAATGTAAAATACAATTACTTACATGGTCAAAAAACCAACTCTCTCAACATAACGCATTTCTATGACTAAACTAAACAACTAATTTAGATGTAATTTTTCCACTCCGCTTTATTGTTCTTAGTACAGAGCCGTAGATTTACTAACCCATGGGATGTAGCTTCTATTGATAATAAAACAATATTTTTTGATAATAACCTAATTTTTGCTTCTATATCGCATCTTTGTGGCGTTAAAGCCATTGTCTAAAGGTAATGGTGCGTTTATGTAATGTAAAAAAATAAATGGCCATGCGTTCATGATTTACTTCTAGGTACTCGGTTTATATATTTTTTCCTGTTTTAAGATTATTCACTACTGAAAGTTATAATAAATTCCTATCTGCTATATAACATAGACACAAGCTCAATTTTCCATATATAATAAAGGACTAAGAATGGGGTTAATCATGAAACAAATCAAGATTTATGAAAGCAATTTCTGGCCTTACGAATGAGAAGTAATGCAGTGAAGTTGCTCTTAGTTTTAGTACTAATCAACATAAAAAATGCATAAATCCATTATTTACCTTTGTGTTAATGTTTCTAATTTTGATGTTATAAATGCACCAGATTCGAATGGTTATGCTGAAAGATTCGTAATCATAGTGAAGTATTGTGTATGCATCTAATTTGTAGTTGCCATTTTTAAGTTTTTGATAGTTATCCAACCATCTAAGCTTTTAGCTATGAAGAAGAATATATACATTTTCTGTTTTGGATTTCAGTGTTTGTAACTTTGTCTGTTCAGTATTTGTATTTAGGTCACAGATTTTATTTCGAAGAGGTCTTTTGTAGAATGGGTAACTTCCTTTTCCGAAGTTGAACCAACTCTGGCACGACTTTAACTCGTAAAATCGTTGTTAAGAGAATATTACGGGGATATTAGTTATTTTATAGTCACCTTTACAACCGTACCCGGGTATATTGCCTTTATTAACTGGCTGATATCAAACGAATTTGTTTAAAGAGAATGCTTAATTCCGTAAGAACAGATAAAATTGAGGTTGAGACTATCATCTTTTTTCTTAATTACATATTAAAGTCTAGATTTTTAAAAGTAAAAATAAGAAATTTATATTTTTCAAAGATAATAATTACAGGTCAAAATTTAGTATTGTTTTTTTCTCTCTTTTTTATTTAAACTGTTAATATCTATCTATATATATAATTATCAATCGCTGTTCGTTTGCCTCGTGAAAAACTCGCGAACGGTTGGGCTGATTAAGGTGCTTTTGGTTATGAAATGTTTGTTGTAGTCCAGAGAAGGTTTAAACAGTGAAAGATAATACGAAGTACATCGGTACTGTAGTAAGAAATTAAAAAGGAAGTCTATAGACTCGTTGGTAGTTATGATATTATACTTTCGATCGTCGTCGATAACCGATTTTTGTTATTATATATACCTACAATTTGTTGTTAACGATTTGTACTGAACATTAAAACTCCTTCTCAACGCAACCCGTCTGACAAATAGGAACAAATTATTACTTTTACTGTTTTCTTCTCTTCATGCTTTTTTACCTCTTAAACCTTCTTTTCATCATCATTATCAACCCATTTACGTCCCAACTGCAGGGGTTAGGCCTTCCTTATGGTTTTTTTTAATGCCCAACCAATATTTCTAGCCGAGCCCTACTCTGCCCCCCACTCATTAGCAAGCCTTTATAATTGTGTTTACTCTTCCATTCCAGTTGTATCATCTACGCTTTTTTCCATGCTGCATACTCTTTCTTTCTTACATTCCTTTCTCATTCATACCTCGAGCGACTGGGATTGCCGCATGTATTACTACCTACTATTTATTCTTACTTTATTTTTATTTTATTTTTTTATTTCAAGCCAGTTTTTATCTTTATCCTGTTACATGCTTTAAATCCTTTTGGTTGGTTAAGGAGGATGACCCTCCAAGTGACCCTAATGCGAATTGGAGGGTATTAATGATTGCAAATGCAGCCGGGACCAACGGCTTAACGGAGTAGCTCGGGATACTAATTTATCGGTCACCCAGCCCGAGACCGACCTTTGCGAAAGTTACTTAACAACAACGATCGCGGGCCTCGGCGCTTATTCACTACGCCACCGAGCTACTATTAATTTGAACTTAAAAACATAATTTCACTATATATTAATAGAATATTTATTAATATACTATAATGAATGCTTTGATTAAATACTAGAAGTTTTCCCATGACTTCGCTCGCATAAATTATAGAATATCCACATATGATGAAACTTACCGTGACAGAATTTTTAAAATCGAATCATTAGTTTTGGTGTCTATTTTACTATAAACTTTTCACTTTATAGTATTAATTTATAAAATCAATCTTTTACCTTGTTCATATTAATAGTAAATAACAGTCTATAATCAATAATACAGTATTAAAACATTGTTGTCGTATCTAAACGCCACTGCGAAGACGATACTGTCGTAAATTTGCATTCACGAGATATCCGGTGATCGCGCGAATCTAAATCAATTTGTTAATTAATAATTTTACTAGTTAATTAAAACATTCTCGAATTTAACGATCGTTCGGTTAAATACGACCAAAGTTTCTCTACACTTCCTTATACGGTAACGAGAAAACTTGTAAGGAACACAACTTGCTAGACTTTTTTGCGGATATTTACGGATATTGATAATTAGGTGCCACTATATTAAGCAGTACCAGTACGAGTATTTTTAAGTTTTCTTGTTTTGTGAATACTATATAAGTAATTTTACTTCTATATCTTAGTATTCCGTATCCTAGTTTTGACTTTATTGCTATTCTGTTATAAATACAGCCAAAATCTTTAAAATAATTCAAAATGATGCGTGAATTTAGGCTATTCAGAATTGCCTTCAGAATTAAATAGGAAGAAATTACTGTAACTCATAATGTTACGGTCATGAGCCTAGTGTGGATTGGTGGGTTTTAAGTTTGATAACTGCAGATGCAGCTGATAGCAACGGCTTAAGGCTGGACGTAAAGATAAGAGCTATACCTACTGTTGGGTACATTGACATAGATAGGGGCAAAGTATAATGAATTGCATGTAAAAAATCACTAAATATTTGCAAACAATATAAAGTCAAAGTCAAGTAAAAGTCAAAATAATCTTTATTCAAATAGACTTCTTAAAAGTTCTTTTGAATCGTCCAACATTTTTTTCCCTACCGCTCGTTCAGGATGTCTTATCTTATCGTCATATAAGAAATAGCATGTCGTTTTCATATTTTTGATAACAGCTTAATTGGACGTTATTTCTTAGAACAAACTAATTGAATGGGTCATTTTTGGTGTTTTCGCCCACTAAAAGCGCCTTCCGAAGTGTGAATAATTATTCTTTTTTTTGGTTTTATACCAAGAAATAACATCACCTATATTTGGACATCCATCTAATGAGCGAGGATCTCAATAGCGCAATGTTTATCGTACTCGGTCTGCGATACGATTGTTAAGCAACTTTCGCAAGGGCCTGTCATAGGATGGGTAACCAAAAAAGGGCTTCATCGAGCTTCTCGAGAAACGTATAAGCAATTTAATTAAACTTTATGGTTCAGTGACCTTTGTTTTTCACTTTCAGTTACAATTTTTATTCACCAATAAACAACAAAATCGGCTGAGTTACTTTAAGCAAGGAATAACATTACAATATTACATAATAAAGAAAAACGTTTTCTATAATACTTACATAAAATACATTTAATATAACATATCTGCAATATATCTTACTCACGCAAACAATTTCCAATAGAAATTTTGCATGACTGAGTTTCGTTTCAAGAAAGCTCTCTTCACTGAGGATAAAAGGATACGAAAACTAAGATAAGATAACACGCCTGCGTGGACAGTTTCCTTTGCCTAAAAAACGAAAGACAATTTGAAGGGACCGCGTTTATTTTCTCTGTGGTTCACATAAAATGCCATCGACCACAGTATCGGTGGCTGGCAACCGTATGTCATAAGGGACGCGCTGATAAAAAAAATCGGCCGGGTTTCATTTTCGAAATGCCCGCGCGATGCGTCTCGCTTGTGGAAATGCTTCGTTCTATTGTTTCGCTCGTTGCACGCCATTTCATTTTGTCCGAATGCACTTTTTAGTGGCCGATTTTTTTTATTACAAGCCATTGTCGTTCCAAATTGTTCTGTTTGACTGAAAATAAATGTTATCTATTATTGTCCTAGGTGTATAATACGAAAAAAGTAACAGTAACTTTAAAAACAGTGACCTACTTTTAGAGAAAAGTGAAAAATTCATATATATATATTTTCTACCGAATAACATGAAGTTTCAATACAAGTAAAATTTGAAAATGTTTCAATCGGGAAAATTGGAGTACTAGAAACTGCTATACATGCAGTACGATACAGCCACGTTTCTAGAAAACTTGATTTTTCTTCTGTAAAACTTGGAATTCTTATGAAATACTTGATGAAATACACACACACCAGAATTTGATACGTTTTAATTTTTGAATCTATATTTATATGTATATTTTAAAGCTACATTGCTGAAAAATTAAATTTCAACTTCAATTTATTCAATGCAAGTCACAGGTCAAACAGATGTTAATAAATTAGGACAAGTGACGCCCTGTAAGGGCACACCAATACTGAGGGGTAACTATTTCCATTATTACTTATAAATATTAATGGTTATTATTAATACATTTAATAGCTATTTTATTTATATATCTAATAAATCATAAACTTAATCAATACATTTATTAATTATTTCATTTAATAATTATTTTATTTATTTACTTTTTTTTATTTGTTATTTCATTAATTCATATATACTTTGTTAATAATTTAGGTACAGTTTGTTGCTTCTCGTTAAGAAACTCTTCAATGTTGTAATATAATTTACTTATTAAATATATTTTCAGCTGTGCAACAAACCTTTTTGTTTCTTTTATTTCCTTTAAACTATTCGAGATATGATTATAAATTTTAATGGCCATACAGTGGCCAATTTTAGTTTAGAAAACGGTACTTTAATTTTGTTTTCTCTGCGATTGTTTCTCATTTTAGCCAACTTTACCGTTGCGTATAAATTTTCATGTTTTCGTATAAATATAGATTGAGGTTTAAGTAAGGATGATATGTAACTTAAAATGAGTCAAAGTCAAAGTCAAAGTCAAAATAATCTTTATTCAAATAGACTTCTTAAAAGTACTTTTGAATCGTCCAAAATTTTTTCCCTACCACTCGTTCAGGACGTCTTTTGGCTGATAAGAAGAACGAGCAAGAAACTCACCAGCTCTAATAAGAGTAATGACATTTACAAAAACCATGTCATTACCAGATCAATACATTATAAACAGAGATAAAAAAAAACTATGGTCTTATAATAATAATAACATAATCATTTAATAATAATGGAAACAAGATAATGAGTTTAGAAGTAATCACCTATCCAGTTGCTGGGCGTAGTAAGCGGTTAGTGCGATTTTAATATCTGTTACTTTTTTCAGGTATCGTAGAGCAGAAAACAAATGAAGACAATCTACTTTTTAGCTTTTGTATGTGGGATTGCCAGTTTAAATGCATGAGAGCAAATCACAAATATAAAGTTTACAAATATGGTTTATTAGATAAATATAAAATATTTTATATTAAAATTCATGTTTAAAATAGTACTCATAAATATATTTTGTTCACAGCCCGCCCCTCACCTCCTAGAAATTGTACAGCAGATCGTATATTAAGAAATAATGAAGCTTACTTATCAGTGCGATGTATAGCTGGGTATGACGGTGGTCTCAGTCAACACTTCACACTGGATGCTCTTGGAGAGTCCGCAAGAGTTCTGGTCAACAGCTCCGCTGGAAACCAGGGTAAGAATTGTCTCATACATTATTTACGGAATAAGTTTCTCCTTACTTAACGGAAGGTCAGTTACCAGTTTTACAAATAGGCGAAAGTTAACTTAAAAATTTAATGGAAAGAAAAACATGAGAAATAATATGAATATAGATTATTAAAAATTAAGACGAAATCATAAATGGATATTTAAGCCATTGACAAAAAACATTGGATATGCAGAAAGAACTTGGGATTACAGTTAAGGTAAAGTCAGTAAAAAACGCAAACAAAGAGAATGGTCCTAGTACGGACCGTTACTATATTTCATGTGATACCATGGTAGTGACGTTAGCAGTTCTTCCGTGAATGCTCTCAACATTTATAAGATCAAAACTCAATGAGTTTAATAGCTAGAGAAGAAAGCCTATACAACAGACGCGCCAAAAAGCGTAGCGCTTTTCCGAAATCAGAACGTAACATAGCTAATAACGTTTATGCTATATAATATAAATAGGTTTAGTATGTTTGTTTCCCTCATATCTACGATTAAACATTAAATTAAACAAAATGAAAATATGTGCGACTGACAAAATGAACGGAAAAATGGGTAATTGATACTGTATTGCCGACAATTTTAACCCTTATGACGAATGAACGAGTAATGTAACCTTAACTGAAAAATTCTTTAATATACCTATTAAAAATCGATAAAATATGTAATCGTTCGGTGTTTTTTATTAATTCGCCTTTTTATCCTCTATATTAGAAGACCTAGAAATAAAACTTGTTTAAATTATGGATGCATTAGTTTTTAGTCTCCAATACAAATTTCCGATTTTGTTTCAAGATTAAGTGAATATAAACAGATTCCATTCGGAAGAGCAGTGTTTTATTTTTATCGCAATGTATCTCAGATAAAGAGCAGAGAAGCATAGTTGAGAAGAAAAAAGAACTACTATATCATCCAGATACAAAAAAATTAGACCTTATTTTATAAATATTAAAGTTTCGTTTTCTCGTGAACTTAATAAACGAAAGTAGGAAGACTAAAAAAGCTTTCGTATCTACACAATCAACACAATTTGCGTAGTCTTCGATACTAAAGCTTTGCCATAAAATTAATTAAAAGAAGAAATACGCGAAATAAAAAGAAAAGGCTCTCATATAGTTGAGAAAATTCATAGTGAATAGCAGTGGCAACACTGACGGCAAACTCTCAAAATTTTATTCATGATAATTTTATTTTATTTTCTGAAACTAGCTTTAATATTGTTTTTATTGTCAAAAACGTTAATAATTTAAGTATGAAACTTATATTCTTTCATATCATGTGAATTTGTGAAAAAGAATCGCATTTTATCCACTGTTGTTCTTCGTTTTTGCGGAGCATTTTTTTGTACTTTCTCGGCGGGAGTTGAATGAGTATTCGAGTGAAATACAAAAAACTAAGAGAAACGTCTTAGTTTTAGTAGCTTCACATTTTGGATATGTATTGCGTATTTAGACATATTAATATCATTGTCAAAACTAAAGTAAAAGCTTCATATATTTTAAAATTACGTTTAAAGAACACTCATACAGCAAACAAGTTTTTCTTACAGCGTTATTTCTTAAAACTGCTTTCTTGAAATAATTTTGTATAGTTCTAGGCATATATGATCTCCACGCCGAGAAATATAAGGTGTAATAAATGGGAAAAGGAATTGTATTAAACGTACATATTAGGTACTTAGATATGAAATTGGCGTGTTGACGTACTGGCCACTTTAATCACAAATTTCTCGTCCTTGATTGGGAATTCCAAATTCAAATTTATATAGCCATTTGTACATGTATTTGTGTTTTGTTAGGCGGCATTCATTTGTTTTTTTTTTTCTTCTGTTTGTCCTATTTACGTCACCCAGTATAAAAAATGGAAAACTTGAAATATCGTGTTATTTACGAGTACGAGTTCCACCGTAGTACCAGTGCTGCGGAAACGGCTCGAAGGGTTAATGATGTGTATGGCGGTTGTGTCGCAAAAGAAAACACAGTTCGTTTTTGGTTCCAACGTTTCCTTTTCTATACTAATTTATAAAGATGTTAAGTTTCTTTGGTTTTTTATATTTTGTTTGTAGGGGATAATCTTCGGATATACTAATTTTATCATAAAATTTCTATCACCTACGAAAACCTACATCAAACGCGGTTGATGTAGGTTTTTATAGGTGAAAGATATGACATGACATAGGTTATAATTTACTCAGGAATAGTTGCGAAAAATAGCTAGTTTTAAATAAAATACGGAAAACAGTATCTTAATGTTAAGCTTTCATTACTACTAACAGATTTAGTCGTTTGGCTAAATATGAGCTGGGCAGAGCTGGACTCTTTGGCAGAAGACGAAGTGGTAGCAGTGACAGCCAGAAATAGCAAGGGGTCTTCAGAACCCGTGCTTCTCAGAGACCTTGTCTTCAGAGATGCTGCTAAAAGAACTGGTATAAAACAGACCGACACCTTATTATAAAGAAAAAATATTGTTTGTAATATATAAACTTACTTAATACTATTGGGCCGACTTCATAAATTTTTTCACCAATTGGCTACTTCACATTTATAACAAATAAATCATTAAATATGTTTGAAATGGTAACTTATATGTAAACCATAATTATGTAATAGTTTTGTTTTAAAATAAAGTGCAAGTATATTTTATTTTTCCAAAATTATCCTTGGATTACAAGGACCAAAACGGAGTATCGTGTGACATCACATTTCAATAAATACGACTTGACGACTCGAAATGTCAAGTGTTTGATTGTTTTCAAAGGATAATTAAAATATATGAGTAAAATTAGGTTTTTCCATTATTAAATAATACTTTTGGCGATAAATAATAATTTTAAAATCCTTTTCCTCAAACAGTCACGTCGATATTTTAAAGATATATTATCTAAGTTTGCTACGTACTGCGTGTTTTATTTACATATAGTTTCGGACTGCGAATTATTTTTATCGCATCACATTGAAATTTGTGCATATTATTGTACAGAAAACACGACACGTGCTACTACTAAGTTCCCGGCTGCGGCTGCATTAGCGGGAGTGGCCGCCATCTTGACAGCAACAGGTGCTATCATAGCATTGGTATTGAGAAAGTGAGCAAATGTTTTTAGTTATTGAAGTACTAGGACTAATTTAGTTAGTATTGACGTACAATCGTACATACAGTCAACAGCATGCCTTAATCTGTTAATAGCTAAGTTCAAAATCCTTTGCGGATATTTAATGTTGTATATTAATTCAATGTACACACAGCAACATGACTACTAGAAAATTATCAAATTTCAACAATAATTTATCAAGTTACAATAATTTTGAATTATATCTTCAAAGCACTAAAGTTTACAATCAAATGTAAAAACTACACAGTTTTGTATAACCTGATTTTCTGTTGACTGTACCTCTGTGTATGCATATATGCAGTTATCATTATAATGCTTTTAAAGCCGACTGAAGGAGTTGTTTTAATTATTATTTTGTATGGAAGGTACAAAGGAGAATGGGTAAAATTCTATGGAACCTTCGCTATGCACGGCCAAGAATATATTATGTAGTCCTTCAATTTGTTTTTTTTTTACAAAACTTAAATTTAGATTAAAAATTTTAGTTAAGATGAAATAAAAAATATGATTTTTATCAGTAACAGCACGTATTTATTACTTAACAATATAGTACAGCAGATATTACTTTATTAATGTTTACAATAATGATTATATATACTGTTTTATTAGACGGTCTAGGGCTTATTAGTATCTATTCATGATTTATAATAGCATTTAATTCCGCTACTGGTAATAGTATATCTTCGGCTTAATTTTTTACCCAACCGAGGTACCAGACTGCACATAATGTGTGCGCAGCATCCAACCGTGCGCCTTCCACTCAAACACGAACAATAATAATGAGCGGTCACTTCTCGTCTATTTTTTGACAATTCATCGATGATAATATAAGAAAAATAAACCCTGGACCCCACGTGTCTCCCCCTTATTTGTTACTCTCTGTACACCACAATTTCATACAACCCCTGTATGCCTGTGATGCTCATCATAATAACTACGGGCTAGCTTGATTTGATATGTACCAAGAGCAAATAAAATAAGGTTTTGGGGATGCTGATAACTATTGATGATGGTGCAAAACAAAGACGGTTTTCACGGCTTGAGACGATTTATTTTTCTTCTTACAAACTGGTATCTTCACTACTGACTACTTGACTTGACTATAAATATTTACAAATTTGGCCCTACTCTTATTCTAAACTTAATATCTAACTTAGCTACTAGTGACGCGCGGCGGCCGACCAATCACAGCGCGTTTTACGCCCGCGCGCCGGGTGGGAGAATCGCCCTCACCGTGCGGACGACGCCTACGCAGCCAATGGGCTCCTCGATAATTCGACAAATGAAGGCGCTGTGATTGGTCGTTCGGTCCGTTCATTTTTACGGCACGTGGCTGTCGTCAACATAAGGTCTTCTTCTGAGAAATTTGAAAATTCTTCAAACATAAGCTGATCACTAGTCATACTTACGAACTTTGCTCTTTGTCCATTTGTGTTATTGCGAGCAATAAAATCGGCTACGTGATTGGATCGATTCAAGCGATCATTTATGATATCGACAAATATAGCTGCATGCACACTGTCTCGGATGGGCTCCTGGAAAACATTAATCAATAACGCTGCTGTTTTCTGAAATCCTCAAACAACAATATGGTTTAAAACCCGATTAAAATAATACCGCCGGAATAACTTAAAATCCCGCTTGAATCTACCGTTTATAACTTCTACCACCCAGCGGCATATAGTAACCAACTGGGTTCTGTGGTAACCAACCTAACCTAGTCGGATTGTTACCTGATTGCCCGGTGCCCGTGATCTTTAATTTCGGGCATATAAGCCGAATAATTGAAGTTTGTTAAAGCAAGACGTCACTAAACCCCCATTCTTTAATAAAAATATCACCAGATCGAAAGTACCAATGGAATGTACTTTCATTTGAGTAATTTCATCAGTTGCCGCTGATAGCCCAAAACTGCCCATTCTCCTTTGATAACTACTATTTAATGTTATTAGTAATAATAAATAAATAACATGCATTCCATATCGACACATGTAAATGAGCCTTGTCTATTCGACCTATATAAAAGTTTGAATGCGTATTTTAATAAAAATAAATATATTCTTTATTGCACGCTAGACAGGACATATTATAAAGAAACTAGTAAAATGAGAGACATTACAAAGGGCGACCTTATTGCTACGTAGCGATCTCTTTCGCGCAACCCGAGGCATGATGAAAGAAAAAACATAAACTATATTACTAAATAAAAATACTATTCAATACAATATAAAACTGTCAATTCATATTAGTCTTAAAAGTATCACATATAAAAAAATGGAAATTGAGGAGATAGTAAAAAAATTGCAAATGCTCTTACGATGAAGTTTGATGGGAGACCGTAATAAAAACCCTTTAGTTAACAAATAAACCTTTTAGGCGCAACGACACAACTTCGACGAGTAAAAGACCGTCTCAAAGCGTAGTCCAAGTGGATGCTCAAGGTAGGCGATATCTGATCGCTTACCCTACTGCTGACAAGCCAGAGAGCAAGCCTGACATACTCAACCCTAAGTCCGGTAAGTGATCTGTGATAGACTGAAATAAAATAGGAAAAAATATCATCTAAAATGGGATGGGATTCTTAAAGTAAATCCTAAGCTATATAAACCAAATCCCTTTGCAATATCAAAACAAGCGGCTCATTTTTGCTAGTTGAATTTTAAAATTTGCACACTTGTAAGCTCGGTGCATATCTGATGCAAGATATATCGCGTCTTGTTGCGGGAGATCATAACTGATCATATGATATGACATTCAACCTTGGACACTCGACGAATGATCTGTCGCGTACTGATATATACTTCCGTGAGACGCTAGACGGATCTTACGTCAGATTTGTACAGTACAGACCGTTAGTGTAGGCTACCAAAAGACAATATCTATTGACAGCGCGAGCTACAAATAAACAAATATTTTTTATACTTAAAAGTATAAAAATCTTAAATAATGATACAACGTCGCTTATTACCTGTTTCTGTTGTCAATGCAAATTCAATTTTTCAAAGTCATTGTTAAAGTACTAATTTAAAACAGTCGCTGGGTACAAAGTACCAAGGGGTATCGCAATCTATCACAGCGCCCATGGTGGCCGAAATTAATAGCTTTTAGATCTCTGTCATCTGTCATACCATACTATGTACTAGTATTTTTATATGTTGAATTAATGTTAAAACTTTTTATTATGATTGATTTATTATATGTATTATAAATATTGTAAAGTATAAAGTATAAAAGATTTTATTTCATATTATGAGGGATACACGCAAACCTGATCCTCGGAATAATACTCATTTCCTTCTATAAACCATTATTTCATTCTCAATTTTAAACTATCGCGCTGCATTATTGAATACTTATAATACCGAGTATCAGACGCAATTTTACACTGACATGTGTTGACGTTTCGGCCGTATTGCACCGGCCGTGGTCACGACGAGACTGGAGCAGCATGTCTACGCCTCTGCATCCGAGGATGAATCTTCTTCCACCCTCAGATTTTTCATCCAACTACCGTCACAAACAACACTAACGGTGTCCTTATTCCGCACATGAGCCGTATTCTGGAGATTTACCGATTGCGAAAAAAGAGATTGCGTTTTAGCAAATACTCGATTCCACGCAATTTATATCCGTCTTCCCAGTTGAAGTTATTAGGGTGTTTCTTAATTTCGTTTCTTAAAATCGCGTTAATACTCGATATTATAAGCATTATTTCATTCATTTTATATGTTTACAATTATTTAATAGAACCGTTAAAGACCCTGTAATTTCTTGTTTTTTGCAGTAAAATTGCAATTAAAGATGAGCTAAACGAATTCTGACATAAGCAAAATAAAACAATTTTTTTTAAATAAATTTTGGTTAACCCGTTCACAACCAGTGAACTTAAATCACAGTATCAGATAAATTTTGTAATATAAATTAAAAGAGTATTTTTGATTTTAATATTTTGTCTAAAAATATCACGTTTAATTTCTAATGTCATTGCACATAGCCAATATCTAAAGCGATGTCCTTTCAATTGTATCAAGCAATTCCATTTTTTTTTTACTTACCGGTCCTCTTGACTAATACTTTTCAATTTTCACAAGTTTTAGGCATTTTTAATATTTTCTTAAAATGTATATAAATGCAGAAAAACTGTAGACATTCTTTTTAATAACAGATAATGAACCTCCCCGTGTGGTACTCGAGTCGACAGACAGCAAGAGTTACACCATCAGGGAGATCAAAGAAGGGGCAAAGTCCTACAGTCCTCCTCCAACCGACGAGCAAATGGTAAGATTTTACTGATGGTGTGACTTTCGTCATCACCACCAGCTTTTTAATATCCCTACTGCTGGAGCTCAAGCCTTCCATATGAATGGAATTAAGTCAAATCAAAAAGGGAGAATGGGCCACCACCACTCGGGCACAGTTCGGATTGAGTATTAACAACTGCAAATGTAGCCGAGATCAACGACTTAAGTGCCTTGCGAAGCACGGTGGAGTTCGAGAAGTTTTTTTTTGTTGGTTGAATTGGTAGGTATTATCGACTGAACCTCTATTGTCTCAGTAGTGCGATAGGATCATTAAAAGGCTTTCAATGATGATAACCTAAGGCCTCTGATTCAGAGTGCCAAACCAATGGGTTTTATGTAAATAGCATATTTACACTCGTCGATAGTGTCAGCATAATAAATATTAATAGATAAATAAGAAGGAATATTTTCTAGAGAAAATCCGTTAAGCTATGATTTTTTTTTAATTTCTCAGAATATTACCTCTATTTCAGATGCCACAGAGATAGCAGCAGGATCCGAGAGAGCATTCCTTGTAAATAAAGTTCAAAAGACTATTTTTAATATTGTAAATTCCAAACATGCCAACAAATTGTAATTTTAAGTTAAATTATAAGAGAATTCTTCCATATCAATATTGTTTATCAATGGATTACGTCAGTAAGGAGTTTTGTTTTGAGGCAACACTGCGGATGTGAGCTGACAAATATGGCTGATATTTGACAATGCGCCGTTTTATCGAAATATATGGCATATTTTAATTTTTAAATTATTTGAAAATAGAATGTACATGTATTTTCGTCAATCATATAATTATGTACATATACGTTTGATAAGTGTTTTTTTATAAAGTACTCGTACCTAATATATTGTTTAAATTGCAAAAGATTCATAAGATTCAGTAACGTATTCGATTGGAAAATAAAAAAAAATGTGACATTAATTTGAAATATTCGTACAAACATATTTTCTGAATATTTTCTGTAATACAATACATTTTGTTGAAATTTCTAATTATTAAATATAATTTTTTGGAATGAGGAAGTATTAAAAAAATAGTTCCCGAAATCAAACTAGATGTCGCTACGGTACGTTTTTGATTTCGCCATGACAACCTTTCCGGTTTTCTTTCAAGTTTAAAAGTAAATTAATTTTCAAAACTCAACAAACAACTCATATTCTATTTATACTTTTTCGTATTTGTATTGATATCTAAGTTTCGAACTTTTCAAATTTCGATTTTTAATACGTTAGTTAAAAGGAACGGAAAATCAACTTTTGATAGAGTCGCCATCTAGTAGGGGTGCTATTTTAGTGCTTTCGTTTTTTTTAATACTTCCTCATTGTGACATTAATAGGTAAGAAATTGTTTACATCTGGCAGCTTAAATTGAAGTAATTATGTTTATATAAACTTTCACATTATTTTAAAAGTAATACCTATGTAGGTAATAAAAAGTGAGGTTGTGAAATACTCATTATATTTCTCCATTAGGTAGCTCATTCAAAAATACTAAAAATTATTTTGTATTTGGCGTAATCAATGAATTACTGCGATACATTCGATACATTAGTTGAAAGTTGGCGTCATATCGTTTTAGACAATCCACATAGTTGTGACGTAGTGAGTCCCCACTCCTCAACTTTAATGTCTATAATCTAAGTCATTTATTTTTTCTTGAAGAAAATAAAAAATACTTACCTAAATATTATTTATCAATTCAATATTTTATAATATTACTTGGATAAAATAAATATTTACAAAATATAATTACGAAGTTATTGTTACGTTTGAAAAAACAAAATTTAAAACCATATCATTGTTTAAAACGCATTTTTTGTGATATCCTTAAAACTTCCAAAAAATGTTCTTATTACAAAATAAAAATTAAGTTCTGTATTTGGTACATGATTAACGCATGTTTAATTTTTTTAATAAAAAAAAATATATATCTTTAAAAAAATATCTTATGTAAAGTTAAAATGAAAATTAAAGAAACCGCCTTAATGATGTAATCAAATATAAAATATTATGTAATATAAAAATATATATTATAAATATTAAATGATCTATGTTACTTTAATGTAATTTATGAAATTGTGATTAAAATAAAAGTTGATCTTATATGCTTGAGTTTTTATTTTATTATAATACATTTTCTGTATATACGTATCCTTGGGATGAGACCTGGTGACCTATAGGTCAGGTTTATCAAAACCTCTATTAGGCATCAGCCTCTCACAAACAGAACGGTTTGCTTTATTGTTAATGTATGTATGATTAAGTTTGTGAAGGAAAACAAAAAATATGATATTTATTATTATTATTATATTGGTCTATATTATGAACCAAAGTGGTAAGTACACTAACTAGTGAACGCGTCAAAAATTTGTATGGAGATTAGTAGTACTTGTAATTCATTACCGAATTCCTGTTTGTAGACTGTAGTCCTGTTGATAAACAATGTAGGCCCTCAGGCTCTATACTTTAAATCGATGCTGCTCAGCTATTCTGATCTAACTTACCTACGTACTCATTAATTTCTTATATTAAACAACTTTCAAAGCTGTTTTATAGAGACTTTATCGTATGAAATGAAATGAAAATATCTTTATTCAAGTAGGTTTATTACAAGCACTTTTAAATCGTCAAACAATTTTTTTTTCCTCTACCAATTGTTCAGGACGTCTTTTTCTTTTTGTCGCACGTATAAATTAGAACCTATAGTGTCCGTATATGATGTAGCTTCCAGAAAGTTTGTGCAATTACGCGTCTGACATTAAAAGTACGTAGATAATCATCACGCCTGTATTTAGTTTTATGACATTTCGAACCATTTACAGGTTCCGTGTGCACATAAGACTAAGATTTTGATTGTCTTTTTGTTGTCAAATAAAAGACAATCAACATCTTAGTCTTATATAAACACAGAACCTGTAAAGGGTCCGAAATGTCATAAAACTAAATACAGGCGTGATGATTATCTACGTACTTTTAATGTCAGACGCGTAATTGCACAAACTTTCTGGAAGCTACATCATATACGGACACTATAGGTTCTAATTTATACGTGCGACAAAAAGAAAAAGACGTCCTGAACAATTGGTAGAGGAAAAAAAAATTGTTTGACGATTTAAAAGTGCTTGTAATAAACCTACTTGAATAAAGATATTTTCATTTCATTTCATACGATAAAGTCTCTATAAAACAGCTAGAATATTATAAAATATCAAATATGTAGATAACAAGAAACCATATGTTTGTACTACATTTAATTTTAATTAATAATTCAAAAGAAGACTATAAAAACTTATTCGTCTCGACTGAAGTCGCGTGCCAAAGTCAGTGTTAATAAATATTCATGGCACTCAAAACGACACGTAACAATCTGACGGCCCCAGAATCGAATTTCGCACCCAGGGGTATTGTTTACGAGTACACTGCGAATGAACCACTATGCATGCAGATTATATTGGACCGGGGGAAACTTTGTGAGTGCGTGTTTCATTTCGTTAATAATTATAACAAAGCTACATTACGACGTCCATCGTCCTAAGGGTTGGTGCATATCTGACTGATTATGCGTCGCGTATCGTCTATTTCGAAACTTCAGAACTAACAAACAGTATGATATGAAATGCAACCTCTAACTTCTGAAAGACGTCAGATTTGCGACGACCCTAATTGATGTTCTCATTTACCCCGCGAGATAGCCCTACCCGGTTATTTATATTTTCACGCGCACTACTCATGAATTAAAAAGTGCATTTCCTCTGCGATCTCAAAAAAAGCAGTGCAAAACTTTTTGATGATAATTTTAATGATATTTGTGAAAAATAAAGCAGTTAACTTTCTTAAATTAATAAATAAATGGTGCATGCACAAAATTCTAGATAAATAAAATATACACAAAAATATTATTGAAGGCACATTTTTCCATCCCAACCTTTGCCTACAAAATGACGCGTTATTATCAATTTCCTCTCTAATAAAACAGTCTCTAAAAATTACGAGAAAAATAAAGTAAATACTGAGAGAGATAGTTTTTTTCTGTAGAGAGTTTCATATTCACATCAGAAATGAATTAATAAAGCTACAAGATAAACATATGGAGCTTACTCTTTAATTGTAATTTTATTTTCGCTCGGCAAATTGAGGCAGCTTAAGTTTTTCAGCGGGCAGAAGCACGTCTCATTCGTTAATGGGCTCGTTAATATTTAATTTACAGACGTTTTTCATTTGGGCGAACCTCCTGTCGTGCGCACCGTTAAGGTTTTAAACGTGGCAAATTTTTGGTGAGAATTTTAAATAACCACTTACGTTCAAATAAAATCGCTAGAAAAAGAGGCTCTAATCTCGAAAACTTTAATGACGGGAAAAATAGGTGGACGAAGACCAAGAAGAACAGTCCTCTACGTTGGTCAAATTAGATTTTTACTACACTGAACACCAGAGACAGTGTGATCATCCATCCATATCGCCGAAGATAGGGTAAGATGGTGAACAAAAGTTCACGAGAGAGTAATTAAACGAGGTCAAAAAACCTCAGCATTGAGCATGAACGTCGCAAGGAGGGGGACATGCAAATTGACATGCTTGTTTTCGGTGACCGATAAATCAGCCGGTATACTTACAGCACATCAAACTCTCAAAAATATATCATAATTTGATTAATTTTGCATTCACAATGCCAAACTGAAAATTAATGCTTAAAAAATCCACTTGGTCCCTGGCACCCTGAGATGGGAATAGAACCCACGACCTTTTGCAATCCGGGCGACTGCTCTAACCACTGAGCTACCCAGGACCTAACAGCAACGAATCTTTCAAGCACTTGTTACTTTTCGCTACTACAAAGCGTATTCTCATCAATGTTCAGGCTGGATGCCTGCCCAAACCAAATAAGGGTAGTAATATCAATATCGCCAAAAATCGACGTTGCATTTCAAATAATTCAGGAAACTTCTATTGAAGTCGAGCGGTTAACACTAATAACCTACAAATAGCCAACGCCCGACTTCAATAAATGTTTCCTGAATATATTTTCAATCTTATTTTTACCACGTTAAAGTTAAAGGATTTATTTTTTTTTTATATTAAAATTTTTTCCTCCTTTTTTAAACTGATTTATAATGTTACAGTTATAATAAATACGAAGACACACATACATATATACAATTTTCTTTTGATCTTGACGTATTTTGAAGACCATAAAGACTAATATAAAGAACTAGCCTTCCGCCAGTAGCTTCGCCCGCGTGAGTTTTAAGTACAGAAATTAGAAAATTCCATAAAAACTTTCATCTCCTAACTTACCCCCTTAGGGGTCGAATTTCGTAAAGTCCCTTCTTAATGAGCATATACGTCCTAAAAAGAACCCGCATGCAAAATTTGAACGCATGCACTTGTAGTTTCTGAGACTTCGTGATAAGTGAGTGACCTTTCGCTTTTATTTATATAGACACACGTTACTAACACAACATTCATTTTGTGAACTGCAAGTCATATTTTTCCTGTATACCAATATTTTTAACAAAATTTTTAATACTGGTCAAATTGATAACCTTTTGAAGTATATTAACTAACTAGCTTTAGCCA